TCCTTAGGCTGCACAGTCATCACCCTTCTTGCTACATACAAACTGCCGGAGGTGCCTCCATCCATCTCAGTGTACTCATCATTATTAGAATCGGTGGTCTCCTCGACTTCTTGTTCAGAAACATACTCACCATTGTCAAGCAAAATCAGGGTCTTCTTGTTAGGGCATTGGCTCGCAATGTGCCCTCTTCCGTGGCATTTAAAATACCAAATTCCCCCCGACGATCCACCTTGCTTCACTGGATTTGCACCATCCGACCTTGCTGCTGGTATGGGAGTTTCTTTTATGGGCATTTGCGGCTTGGGTTGGTTACAACCGCCTGGTTAGATCGTGTGGAATTCGTGGAGGGTTGAAACCTCCTATTTCGTAAATGTCGTTCCACCTTGCTGGCCATATCCACCAATTCTTCAAGCTCAGGGTACAATTTTATTTCCACCATGTTCTTGATCTCTCGATTGAGACCATACAAAAAACGAGCTATGGTAGCCTAGCGATCCTCTCTCACATCAGCACGTATCATCAACACTTTCATCTCCTTGTGGTAATCCTCAACGCTTTTAGTTCCTTGTCGTAGAAGCTGGAGGTATTGATACATATCTCTCAAATGGGAATTTGGTACAAACCAATCCCTCATGATACCCTTCATCTCGTCCCATTATTCAATAGGACGCTATCTGTTTCTTCTTCTCCTCGTACCCAACTAATCCCACCAAACAAGTGCGTAATCCGAGAACTCTAAGACAGCCAACATCACTTTCTTCTTTTTGGAGTAATTGTGATAGTCGAATACTAATTCCATCTTTTGCTCCCAATCCAAATAGGCATTAGGATTTGTGGTACCGTGAAAGGGTTGAATTGTAACCTTGAGGTTTCGCAGATCATCATCTTCCTCAAAGCCTTCCTCGTTCTCTTCCTCGATTTCCTCAAAATTTTCTTCTTCGTGATGTTGTTGCCACTCTCTTCTTCCAGCTCGAGGCAGCCCAAGATGTCTATGCTGGCGCATATGATGTTGTAATTTGTGAACCAAGGGTGGAGGAGCTCGGTTTTCCCTTCCCATCTCTTCTTGTTGAGGTCTAGGGTTAGGGTTAGGGTTTACCTCAGCAACAACCGGCTACTGGAGTATTGCTTCCACCGCAGCCATTCTTGTTGCTTGCTCAGCAAGCCTTGTCATTTGCTCCTCTTGAGCTCGAGCAATATTCTCCAGCTGGGTCGTTATCGCTCGTAGGGTTTCATCCATGATTGCGGCTAAAGACATTCAAGACACTCCAAGAATCAGTCACCCTTCTGTCTTGCGGCTCAAGAACACGCCAAGACCTTCAAGAACTCGCACAAAACCACCAAAAACACGAACAAGAACGCACAAGATCTTCAAACAGCTTCAAGAACACGCCACTGATTTGAACCTTAGCTTTGATACCACTTGATACAATCAAAGTAGCACAGCTCCAAGCAACTCGAACCAATCAAGAACCAGGACAAGGATGGAATCAATCGGACAGAATTCACTCGTGCAAAGGGGCAATCGTAATAGGAATCGATTAGACAATCTCAACTCGGAATCAAGGGCAGTTGATATGGGTAGCTCGCCACAACTACGGTGAATACCTAGCTGATAAGAGTCGCTCTAACACTCCAGAATTCTCAATAGAGTAATTAGGGCAAAATTACTCAACGGAACTCGGCACAAGCCTTCAGATAAATCAATAGGCGCATCTTTCAAGTCAATCGGAGATTAATTGGCGACTCGGGTGAAGAAACTCGGGCATAAATTGAGGAATAATGGATTTCTACCTTATTTTGTGGAAAAATTATCATTTATTATTGTAAATGAAAACAAAGAGGACGAGATTACCAGCGTCTGGGATCAAATGGTGACTAATTCGGAGTCCGAAGAAGGGAGAAACGAGACATTCAAGACAAGGGGACATGAGTAATGATTTCCAGGGGTTGAAAGCCAATTCCATAGTCCTGGATTAGGGGTTTAGACCGTGGATTTCGAGAATAAGAGATCCATAGGTTGGAGAGCCCATTCTCCGACCGTGGAACTCAAAGGGTGACTGTGGAACGTGCCGGTAGCGGGTATAAAGGCCTATTTTATGCATTTTTGGAGGTGGGATCTGGGTTTTGGATCCCAAACACCCAAGCGACGAAAGAGAGAGAGAGAGAGAGCACTTTGGGATCATTCTTGGAGCTATTTTGGAGGATTTCTTCACCATTAGAGCTCGGAAATCAAGCTTGGAGATGGAGATTGAAGGGGAATGCGTTAGTGTGATAACTAAAATTCTAGTAGCCACCGTGGCTACAACATTATCTGCCGTCCATTTTTTATTACTATTATTATTATTTTAATCTCATGGTTAAGATTATGTCAGGGTAATTTTGAAAACGAAAAAACGTCAACACCCGATTATTATATATATTCTACACAACACTACTTCTACACTCCCCTCCCTCCAACCAAACCCTACTTCAGACGGTTGTCGACTGCCGACTACCCACCGTCCATCCCTCTCCCCTCTGGCCACCTCCCTTCGTCGGCCATCCCTCCCGATCCCCTCTCTCTCTCTTCCCATCTGTTCTTCCTCCACAGTAGAACCTTCCCACTAATATATACCTAAAATCCAATCCCCTTCTCTCTCTCTCTCTCCCTCTCTTTCTCTCTATATCTCTCCTTCTGTTCTTCTTCAGCAAAAATGGCGAATTGGATAAATAAATATTTTTGGGGGAATTCGACTGAAAGAACAGAACAGCTGATTTTATATTGGTAGTGTTTTTTTTTCTCGTAATGGTAGTATTTTTTTCGCATTGGTATTGTTTTTCCGCATTGGTATTTATTATCATGTAAGGGTATCTCTGTTTTTTGAAATGGTAGTGATATTTTCGTAGTGGTAGTGTTTATTCTTATTGATATTGTTTTTTCCGTTTTGGTATTGATTATCATGTAATGGTATTGATTTGAATGTATTGCTCTATGGTCAAATCTGCAATGGTATTGGTGTTTTGTGAAATGATAGTGATTTATTTCTCGAATGGTATTAGTGTTTTGTGCAATGGTAGCATTTTTTAATGGATTGGTATTAATTTATTGTTTTATTGTAGTGGTATGTTTTTTGGTATTGATGTTATTGTATTGGTAGTGATATTCATGTATTGTTATTAGTTAAATCTGCAATGGTATTGGTTAATCAGAGTTATCATGTTGTGGTAGTGGTATTTTTTTAATGTTTTGGTATTCATTTCTTGTTTGGTTGCCTAATGGATTGGTAATGATTTTTTTTTTATAGAAAGATGGAGAAAAATAAGAAAGGATATCTGGAGATTATGGAAGTGAGAGAAAGAGAGATAATTGTAATTAACAGATTTTTGTAACTGCCAAAAATTTAATTTATTAAAAAATTAATTAATACAATTTATTTTTTCATACCCAATTTACCCTTAGGAACCATCGTGATTCCTACAAAGTAGTAATCACCATAACCCCTTCCAGATTGAAGGTCTAGATCTGATTTCTGCATTCTCTCTCTTCTCTATTGAGTAACTTCCCTTCACTTAGGTTTTGAGAAACCCTAGATTTGTATGCTAGGAAGAGTTGTATGAACTGGAATTCATTATTGTTTGACGTTTTATATTCAGTTGAGGCATTGATATAGAATTACTTGAGTCCAGATCAACCTTTTGTGATTCCTGCTTTAACCTAGAACGATAGTCTCTGCATAGGTTAATAGCGCAACCTTAATTGGAAGTAGTGGATCGATTGCTTCGGTCGAGAAATCGATTCACTACTCTGTACTGGAGTTGAAGCCAGTAGAGGAAGTTTGGTGTGTTATTGCCTTGGTTAGTTTATGTCGGTGGAGGTTAGTCATCCGCCGGGTATTCGAACTGAGAGGGTCTGGATTGTTTTAGTCGAGATTCCAGACTTGTCAAGAACTTTTGGCAATTGTGACATTTATTTCCCCTTCCCTAGTTATAATATTCAATAAATCAAATTCATCTCATGTGAAGCCTCATTTATGAACTAAGAGCAACCTGCGAATGTGGAAGCAACGAAGCTGATGTCATCTTTAACTAGGAGGCCATGTTGTCGTTTGTCTGTATGACACGAGAAGACCTTGCAATAATGGACCGACTGGAAGAAAATAGACTAATCACATGTCATTTCTGCATACCATTCACAGCGAAAGTCTACATTGTATGAGCAGAGACTAATTAAGAACCCCACATTCGCTTTGCGAGGATATGGCATCCAAAGGTATTTCTTTAGTGATGAGGTGTGATTGATCATCAAAAAAATTGTTCCGAACCAAGCATTAACCACCTGCGTGTCTATAACTAGTAGTCGTAGATATTTTGTGGTTGATACAAGCGTGACAATTGTTTTGCTTTTGTTAATTATTCCTACCCTTTTGTTCATGCGACCCTAGGTCGTTTGTGCAAGATGGTTATGAAACTTCTTTTGTTGTTGACCGTGAATAATTGTCGCTGTTGGGGATGTAACTATGGCCTAAAGGTGAAAGCCCAAAGAAAGGTTATAAGAGGCCCAAGTGTAAGCCAAACATGAGTGGATTCAGCCCAAGAAGATAAGTGGCAGTCTGGTGATGTGGGGTCGGATCTCTGACAGAGGGTTCATAGGACAAAGGACAACCAACGGGCGAAATGTACAAAAAGCTAAGCATAGTAGATCATGCGCCCTGAACCTCTGATGAAGGTGTCACATGGTCGACGCGCATGGTAAAGGGAGTGTATGGTGCGTTTATTACTGTGCTGACGTAGGGCGAAATTGGGGGGCATTGGTCGGCAAGGCTCCTAGTATAAAAAGTGAAGTAGGTGAATCTCATTTACTTAGGTTAGAAATCTCTCACTAGAAATTACTTCACTTCTCTCTCTAAAGATGGTGCAATGACTTGATCGTTGGAGGCCTAATGGACCCCAAGGGTCCATTGTGCGCTCTACCTGCAGGTGTTCGTGTGCCCCAAAGAGCTAAGTGTAGCGAGAGGAGGCGCATGAGGGAGGTACGTAAAACTGGGCTCAAACCATTTGTGCTCCAGGAAGAGGGTGTAGCCATAGTTTCGCAAAGTGGTATGGATATGCCTAGTGGGAAGGTGACGGATAGGGAGCGTGAACCCCCGGAGGCGGCCGCTAGGGAGACAATATCACACGAGGAAGGTGACGATGATGAGGAGCAAGAGAGAGAAGGAACGATGCAATTGGAAGGCGCATCCCTCACGAGGGAAGATTTAATCTAGGTAATCGAGAACCAAGATCAGGCACTTGAGTTTCTTAGGAGGAAAGTCCAAGATCTGAAGAAAGGAACGGGGTGCAGAGCCCATCCCTGGTCTCAAGCGAAGGGAGAGTGAGGAGGAAGATGAAGGAGAAATGAGTGATATCATGCACACGGAAGAAATGGGACATCTGAGGAGGCACTTGACCCCGAACTTTGATGAGCACAATGGATGGGCTCAGAGTCGCATAGGTAAAAATTGAGGCATACAACGGCCCTTGGCCAGGTCAAATCGTAGATATAAGGTTTAATCACACGGGGCATGTTGAATGAGTTCGTGAAAAAGGGGGAAGAGAGGGCACAATGGACTTGCCTGGCGCAAGAAGGGAGACTAGAGTGCTAGGCCAAAGCGACGCAAGGATCAACATTAGAGAATGACGCGGTGGCGACGCTGCGTCTGCCACTTTTCGAAGTAGACCCCGAAGCAAACCCTGGGCGCGTAAGGCTAACGATCATAGCAATCATGGGGTCGGTAGACCTGAGGCAGAAACTTGAAAGGGGAGGCGCTTGAAGTCGGCCACAGCAGTGCGTGCGAGGAAATACACATCCACTTCAACGAGATACCCGTGGAAGCATGTTGGGGTTTTGGCTCACATGCCTGAAAACATGATAGAGTCTCTCGTTCACTTTCTCAAGGAATACGTAGACCTGTTTGCATGAAGCACGAAGGAGATGCCCGGGGTGAGACCTGAGACGGCCATGCACCGCCTGGTAGTGGAGAAAGATGTGCACCCTGTACAACAAAAGAGAAGCCCCCTGTCTGAAGAATAGGAAGAGGCTCTGCAACAAAGTTGGAAAATTGATCGAAACGGGGTTTGTGGAAGAAGCAAGGTACACAACATGGCTCTCCAACATGGTTCTGGTTCCCAAAGCGTCCAGTGAAGCTATAACCTAGGTCTGAGCGCCTTTGAAGACTTACGAAGTTGGTACTCTTCGTCATGCTAACAAAGTGGTTGAAAAGCTTGAAGGTCGGTGAAACATTATGTTGGCGGCACTCGTAGAGAAAGAGGATGGTGTATAAGATGTGGCAGGAGAAAGTCAATCAAGGGGGCATTGGAAGGTAGCGATGACGCCTTCAAGGACAGGGTGAAGAGGGAAATGTAGTCCAAATCAGATAAATTCTTGGTAAACCCTCACCCGTCCGCTCTCTCCACAGACACCAATCCCATCCTCCGGTGCACATGGAAGTATCGTCAAGGCGCATGCATCTGGGTAGCTACAATAAGCTTCTCTAAATGCTCCCGCACTAGCTTGGAAGCATGAAAGGGACCTACCTCCTCCATGGGATACTCTGCGACATTGGTAGGCATGTGCCCTAGAGGCCTAGCCTTCTCCCACGACCGGAACACATAGTCCTTAGGCACACAAGGGCCTGAGTTAGATGAGGGTGAAGTTGGGGTAAGCGCAAGGTTTAGGCAAGGGCAAATTGAAGTAGGATGCACTAATAAGAGGCGTGCGAGAAAAAGTCGAGATATCACGTGTCTCAGATTGCGATGAGATTAGGGGCTCGTTAGCTTGTTGGATTTGAAAATGGAGGTTTTTAGTTTTGAAAACCTTTGGATTTATGATGGATTTGTTTCATTTGGTATTTGAAAGATAACATTGTTTGTTTAGTTGATTTTGATCATGGATTTAAAGATTTTTGTATCATGGGTCTCAACTCCTTGCCTTCAATGACCAAATACCAAATGAAATGTGGTATTTGCAAATACGTGGGTTCCATGGATTTGGGGCTAAAAAAATTGTCCAAATCCATGGGCCCCACGGATTTGTATGCCTCAACAAACAATGTTTTATATCAAATATGTAATGCTTTGTATTTGGATGACAAATACATCACCCAAATCCCACAAGCAAACGACACCTAGATATTTTCATGGAGGGCGAACGGAGCAAAAATTGAAGGCGCATAGTAACATCTTATGGGAGGCCAGGAAAATTTGAACAATCCTAGCTAAGCGCTATATTTATTGGAACACACAAAAAGCAAACACAAGAAAGGAAATGGCTTAAACGTACACGAGGGGGCGGCGACAACAGCGACGGCATATGCGGACGCGTGGGAGGAAGAGGTCGGTTGCTGAGAGGTGGACATGGTGGAGGCGCACGGCTCGAGTGGCGCGTAGGGGGGGGGGGGTTAGAGGGGAACTGGCGGATCAAACCTAGTGAGACATAGTAGAGAGAGGATGGAATTCGAGTGGTGAATGAGGAGTTCGGGAAGATGGAGGAAATTTATATGGAAAAAGGAAGGAGAGAGAAAGGATGGGAGAGAAGAAAACTTGGCAGCCAGTCCGCTTAGAATTTGAAATTCAAAATTCAAACTGGACTGGATGGAGGGTGAATCCCAATAGTCACATTGATTTCAGTACAAAACGGAATCCCAATGGTCATTCTGTAGTTCCAAGAATGAGAGAACCCAAAGGTCACATAGCCAAAATAAAACGCAAGTTGAACAAACAAGAAGTGTCAGAAGAGGTACATCACCTCGGTGGGGACAAAGAGGGCTCGCAAATACAACAACAAAAATAAAATTAACAAGGAAGGGGGAGACCAAGGGTAGGCTCATGGACAAGAGACACATGAGTAGTAGGGTGCATAGGACAAAGGACAACCAACGGGCTAAATGTACGAAAAGCTGAGCATAGTAGGTCATGCGCCCTGAATCTCTAATGAAGGTGTCAGATGGTCGAGGGGTATGGTAAAGGGAGTGTATGATGCATTTATTACCGTGATGACGGCTACTAGTGCACTGACTTAATCATTGGGAGGCATTGGTCGGCAGGGCTCCAAGTAAAAATAGTGAGGTAGGTGAATCTCATTTACTCAGGTTGAACTCTCTCCAGAACTTACTTCACCTCTCTCTCTAAAGCTGGTGCGCTGACTTAATCGTTGGAGGCCTAATGAACCCCAAGGGTCGGCTGTGTGCTCTACCTGCAGGTGTCTATGAGCCCAGAAGAACCAAGCAAAGTGAGAGGAAATCAGTTTTCGATGGTTTGACATGGTAATGCAGTCTATGAACTTAAATCTTCTCTTGCATTCATGTGCGCCTCATACATTTATAGCACATTCTTGCCGACCCTCCATCCAGTAAAATCTATTAATTATAGTTCCAATACCTAACCACCAAAAACCTGAACTGCAATTGCCAAAGTAGAAAGAAGAATGTTAACAAATCTAACGACAAAAGTTCACCAAGCCATTGCAAACTTAGAACAGGAAGTCGACCTTGAGTGCTTCATAATTCAGCCACAAAATTAAGTGATTAAGTTGCAACAACACGAATGCCACCAACCCAATAAAAAAGCCCAGTTAGCCCGTTTTAATATGGGCCAACATACAGATTCCACATTTGATGATCGAACGACACTAATGAATCCAACCTTCATGTCTGACATCACTACCTGCCTTAGTCACCATTAACCCTTACCCGACAAACCTTCCAACACACTTTTACGCTTCCATCACCTCGCACTCCTCCAATCCAATTTCTGAGAGCTATGACCCGGATTTCGACGTATGTTCGACATGGCCTCTCCACTCCATCATCATTAGTCCCTTTACTTTCCGAACTTTAAATATATCTGAGCCCCTCACGGGCCTCCAAAAGGGGATCATCAAACCAATTTTCTGTCGATATGAAAACACACATGCATAGAGGATTGATGTGCCATCTCGGACGTCCAGTTCTTAACTTCATACTCTCATAAATTGACTTCATCCTCGGTTAACATACACAAGAGAGCAGTTCATTCCCTCTTCATTGTTGTATTTAGAAACAATGGACTCTTGGTCGATCGTCCGAAACGTTGTCCGTCAAGATGTCTGAAGAATAAAATCTCGATTGGGCTCCTACAGGTAACCTCTTTCAGGCACCAACATAGTCATCGCACCATCTGTTACTGTACATGAAATGAGAATGCATCTTTTAGCTCCTTTGGTTGATTTGCGCACTTGCCCAACCCCACTTCGTATTAATATCGGAGAGGAAAACCAGCTACATCAGCTTCCAAAAGATCCAAGTCTTCCATGGTTCCCAAAGGGTGGGTTTTACTCGACATCGTTCATTGCTATAAAAAATTGTTTGTACTCGAAAACGGAGTTCACGGGCAAGGACTGCTATGCTAGGCCAGGTTACTGCCTTTTGAGCCTGACTAATATTTACTTCATTGCTCTTTTAGATGTCGTGGGCCGCTTATTGAGTGTTTTGCTCCTAGATTTCACTAGCATGATGGTTGTTGAATTGAAAGGTACATTATTCGCAAATTAAATCTAGCCATTGTCTATCATGCACCTTTAAACCATGGAACTTAAGCTATGTGTTGGTGTCAAACAATTCAGACAGATTATGCTTGATAAACACAGATGGAACACGAATCATCCATATCGTTTGGCTGAGAGCCACGTAAGCATGCCTCTACCTTTCAGAAACGATCTTCTTTCCATTTACATACAAAAAGATAAAACACAGTTATCATTTGACTCACATTTTCATTACTGTTGACACTTACCTGCCTCTACAATCGGCTTCATTCATAGTTTTATGGGACAATTCAAGTACCACATCGGTAATACAATGGAAGGAACCCTTGTATATTAGTGTCCACCTGGCTCATTAGTACGAGGTCTTTTGGGGAGGACACCCAAGAGTAAAATCGTGCGGGCTTGGCCCAAAGCGGACAATATCGTACTAATTGAGTGGCCCAGTTTGACAAGTGGTATCAGAGCCTGGTTCGCCGGATCCAGAGCGGTGGACGTTAGTTTGGTGGACCCTCATTCGGTGACCTCGGGATTTGAGATTTGCATCTGGTTTGGTGGATCCATAAGAGATCTACGTTTGGGCTTGGTGGATCAAAGAGAGTTCCGCGTCTGGGAAAATCCTTGAATCGAGAAGCCCATCGATACAAGGTGTTTGGCGGATCAAGATAATCGCTGAGGGGAGGACACGAAGTTCGTGGTCCTTGGCTTGATGGGAGGATTGTTATGGGACAATTCAAGTACCACATCGGTAATACAAGGGAAGGAACCCTTGTATATTAGTGTCCACCTAGCTCATTAGTACGAGGCCTTTTGGGGAGGACACCCAAGAGTAAATCCGTGCGGACTTTGCCCAAAGCGGACAATATCGTACTAATTGAGCACCCTGGTTTGACACATAGTTTCCAGTTACGTCGTCCACTAACATGTACAATTATATACATAGATTCTCACATGTTCACCAGCCAGTGGCCATAAGTCACTCACCCATACATAACCCTGTGTATGTTCAGTACAACCTGCCACCAAAAACAACTCTCCTCATGTTAATGTCCACCAAGAAAATGCTATGTTCACCACACAGCGCAAGAGAATTACATTCACAAGTTCAATGTGACATACATACATATTACATCTTAGATCTTAAACATTACTAATTCTTATGTCAATCAAACTTCTATTTGGAGCCTCATTACCATAAAACGAATCCACTGCTATAGAAGTCTCACTCACTATCACCCTGACACCACTCACAATCAAAAGTATATACACTGTGACAATACTAGGAAAAAAATCATTGCACAATCTAACAGTCGCCCAACTTCTTTACAAGTTTTGAATGATCTTTGAATGCAAGGATATCTCAAAATCCTGTGATCTTCTCTTCGACAATGATGCAGCTTCATCATTATTGCAAAAGTTTTCTTGGGAATATGAGTCCCTTGATGAAGCCTCTGCAAACACATGCCTCAATTATGGGATGGGAAATGTCTTCACTACTGAAATCGGAACTGCCTAGCAGAAGGATCTTGCAGGTAGCTTCCAAAATGTTAGGTGGAATCAAAGAGAAATTTGCATAAATCACTGGAGCACAAAATCTATTAGATGGATTATTAAAGATTATACATTCGTCAAAGCGATAACACCAAATTCAGTAGATGACTCTAGTAGAGCCGTCCAAGCGATAACTCCTTTGGTTCATCGAAAATATATCTCCTAGGACACTTCCTCACAGCTTCATCTGTCAAGGCTTTGTATTTTCTGACAACTTCACGAGCATTCTTCTCATTATCATCATCGTCGTCGTCAAAACGATAAAATTGTGTTGTTGCACCCTCCTCTTTGGCTTCCACTCTGTTTATATAATCTATCAGTACTTCACTCTCAAATTCTCTATACATCTCAAGCTCTTCCTCATAATTAATCTCCGAATAGCGCCTTAACTTCCTCATCAGCTCCCCCTTGACATACTCTTCCTCGATGAACTCTGAAGGGACTAACAATCTGACCTTCTCCACCAGTTTGTCCTTGACATCATCGGTGTATTATTCAAAATGCAAATAAGGGGAGCAATAATAGCATCAGAGTGACTAAAGATTACAAAATGAAAAGACCCGTTTGGTATCATTTTTTCTGTTGTGGTTGCAATATTATTGTAACGAACAAAACGTACAATCACAACACCATGAAAATGAAAACTGAAAACATTTGAAGTTCATAATTCTAGAAAAAAGAAACATGGAATTTGAAAATTTTATATGTTTATTTGCTTTTTCGTTCATGTTTAGTATAATGTTGAGAGTAAGACAAAAGTAGAAAATAATGGGAGGAATTATGTATCATGGCAAATTATGAAAATTTTGAGAAATAAAAACAGATGAAAAAATGGAAAAAATCCCACTGTATACATGTTCTTAAAACAAATTCCCAAAATACATAAGTTATAATTTTTTTCCAAAACTACACATGTTTGTCATTCACCGTTTTTGACACACGCAGTGAAGATTATCACCGCGTTTGACAAACACGGTGAATATTTCACCGTTTTAAACTAAAACGGTGAAGTATTCACCGTCTTTATCTAAAACGGTGATATATTCACCGCTTTAAACTAAAACGGTGATATATTCACCGCTTTAAACTAAAACGGTGAAGATATCACCGTTTTAGTTGAAAACGGTGAATATATCACCGTTTTAGGGCAACACGGTGAATACCTTCACCGTTCTAGGTTAAAACGGTGAGTATTTCACACGTTTCCAACCCCTGGTAGGTGAAAATTAGGTAACAGCTACCTAATGTTCGCCGTTTGAGACAAACGCGATGATGTTGTTCACCGTGTTTGACCAAAATGGTGAATAGTAGGCAGATTTTCCTATAAATACCACGCCACCAGCAATTGTAAAAATATAACCACTCCCCCCTCTTCAAATTTCAGCAACCAAAACCGAGCATAATACATAGAACAGGAATTTTCGGTATGATTTAATTTTTGTATTATAGCTTAATGATGGGTTTTTAGTAGATTTTATTTTCGTATTATAGCCTAATGATGTTTTTAGTAGTTATATTGTTATGTTATGAATTACTTATCGTAGCAATTGTAGTACTTAATTTTTGAATTTATGTTGTTGTTAGTTAGTTGAATTTTATGTTACGTTAGTTATGAGATGGAGTAATATTTGTTGTACAATATGGTTTTGGTTAATTTTACTGTCTTTAAGCTAATAGTTTAACTTATTGTAAATTGTAGATATGGGTAAATTCAAGAAGTTTCGGCTTATTATTCGGTGGAATGGAAGGGTGACAAACTCTGACATAGGGATTGATTATGAGAACGGTGAATAATCCACTATGCTGAAAATTAAGTCGCGATTCAATTTTCAAGAACTCTGTGATATTTGTGTAGACAGGGTTTGTACGAGCGGACAGACGAGACTTGGAAAAATTAGTTACCGGCATCCAGACATGAGTGTTGGCGGGGTTGTGTACCAAGAAGTTGTCATAAATGATGATGACGCGGTTACGATGATGTTACAGTTCCTAAGCGATAACGGGATGCGGCTTGCAGAGGTGTATGTTGAGACCGAGACAGTCGGTAAAACTCATTCTCACCAGTATTCTTATGATGATGGTTTTGCAGGAGGGTACGGATGGGATGGTAGTTCGAGCAACTACGAAGGAGGTGGTTATACAGGAGGTTATGGAGAGGGTGGTAGTTCAATCAACTACGGTGGAGGTAGTAGTGCAGGATGGGTGCCATCGGAAGAAAACTCGCAACAGGATCAACCAGCCCCATTTGTTGAGGCCGATGGCGTTCAATGGCCTGCTTGGGAGCCAGAGTGGTCTGAAATCGAGAATACCATTCGATCAGGGTGTACTTCACATGAGCGAGAAGACGATGTTGGTGATGGTTGTCATGTTGATCCTTCTAACCCCAGCTATCCATTCGACTCAAGCGACGAGGATACTGAGGAAGATTTGAGATCAGTGAGCGAGGAGGAAGATACTGATGATAACGACGATGAGGCGACATTTCGTGAGGCACCCACGCCATACTACACACAGGTTCCAACTCAATTTCTACATAGTCAGAATGACGCCCCCGACTTCGTCCCTATGCCAGTGTATAATCCGACGGCCAATTTGGAGGTGGATATGACGTTCTCATCGAAGGACGCTGTGTAGGATGCCTTTACCGAAGAGGCCTTGATGCGCAATTTCAAGTGGAAGGTAAAATATTCTGACAGTAAACAATTTACATGTCATATGCAAGAATGATGTAGAGGGCTGTGTTTGGCAACTGCGGGCTGCAAATATGAAGAGAAAGGGTGCCTGGGTGATTCGAAAAGCCGAGACCAACCACACTTGCTCCTCGTCCATACGTTCCCAGGATCACAGGCAACTTAAAGCAAAGAAAATTGGGAGAACTATTAAACACCTTATCGAAGCACAACCAGATATCAAGGTCAAAGCTATCATGGCCGAGGTGAAGGATCGACATTCTTACACGATAAGGTACAAAAAAGCATGGCATGGAAAGCAGAAAGCCATGGCTGAGGTGTATGGTGATTGGGAGGATTCGTATGCTTTACTCGCTAGACTTATGGCCGCAATGGAGGAGTCCAACCCTGGGACTGTTTTCGTGCCAGTATACAACAATGTATACACTGAGGATCAAGTTCGAGTACAAGAGAAGTTGATGTTTCACCGTATTTTTTGGGCTTTCAAACCATGCATTGACGGGTTTGCGTTCTGCATACCGGTTATTCAGGTATTTTAATACATGTTTACTATTTAAAATGTTTATATTCTTGCCGACCAAGTAAATTTCATACTAATTACTTCCTAATATTTAATTAGTTTGATGGAACCTTCCTCACTGGAAAGTTCAGAGGAACTCTTCTCATTGCCACTGGCGTTGATGGAAACAGGTGCTGATGCTCACGATTTTGATAGCCATACCCTTGCATTTGTAATAGTGGAAGGGGAGAACAACTTAAGTTGGAGATGATTCTTTGACCAACTACACGAACACGTGACACAGCGGGAGGGTATTACGATTATATCTGATCGACACGCGGGGATTAGGAATGCCGTGGGTGGTTTTCCTGACGAGTGGGGATGGACATGGCGCTGGTGTATTCGACACTGGCTCGCCAATTTCCAACACAAATTTGGAAAGAAGAAAGACATAAAAAATCAACTGTGGCATGCAGGTACTAATGTCCTTTAATGCGAGTTATCTATGTGTTTAAAATATTTTTGTTTATCATGTATTGACCATTTCTATATTGTTCACCTTGCAGCGGTTGCACATCAGCCAAAAAAGTACGAGCAGAAGATGAAGACGATCCGTCAGACTCACCGAGCTGGAGCAATATGGGCTGAAGGTCAAGAATTGGCCATGTGGACGTTCCATATGGACAACGGGGCCAGATGGGGCATTGCAACTACCAACCATGGAGAAAGTATAAATAATGTGTACAAGGACCTTCGAGCGATGCCTATTTATGTCATAGTGGAGATGTCATACTGGAAGGTCAACGAGTGGCGGGTGGCTCGGCTGCATCTAGCGATAGGGAGGGAGATATCTGGTCATCCGATAGCACATGACGTTTTTGAGCAAATGCAGAAGAACGAAGAAAAATCAAGTAAGCATAAAGTGGTTCTTTTCGATCGCAGTGAAGGGATATTTGCAGTGGAAACAGGTGTATGGGGTGGAGGTAGACGTGACCACAATCGTCAAACGGTTACTCTGCACTATGAATCAGGGGAGTGTACATGTCAAAAATATCAAAACAAGAGGATACCTTGTTCACATGCAATGGCAGTAGCTAAGTCATTAACCATGAACAGAAACACTCTGGTGAGTCCTTACTACACTGAACAAGCAATACGGAACTCATATGATGTAGCTTTGAGTCCCATGCAGCGGCGGATCCAGAACACAGAAGAGCACTGAGCCGTATTTCATTAGAAAATTAGAACCGTAAAAAAATATAATGACTATAGCTTTTTTTACAATGTAAATTGTACACAACGGTATTTTAATTTAGCAAATGCATCAATAATGGAGTCCACATCCATACCAATAGTATACACTGTTTCAAATAAAATACTTGAGCAATCGGCGAGAAATTCATCGCTTATTTTATTGCGCAAATCAGTTTTCACATGTTTCATTGTTGAAAAAGTTCTCTCTATAGTAGCTGTTGGAACTAGAGGCATCAACACTAGACAAATCAATCAACTAATCAATTTTGCATTGTGTGTCCATCCCTATATCCACTAGCTGCTCTAGTAAATTACTAAATTTTCAAGAAAATAAACTTCATATATCTTTTAGTCTTTTACGTTTTAGACTTTTAGGTTTCATTGTTTTTTTATACGAATAATCTTTAGGGCTAAAATTTCTAGGCTAAATCTAGATTTTTTTTATCTGAATCATTTTTCTAATTATACCCAATCTTATTGTAGACACCACATTTTGTCCGGAGCAACTATCCTACTCAAAATTCGGAAGAATATTCCATTTAAAAATTAAAAAGAAAACCCAAGTGAAAGTTTGGACGAAGTTGGTTGAGATTAGCAGTGGCAAATCAACAAGTACCAATAATTTCGAAGTCCTCCTTCTGTTTAGTTCGAATATCTGTACTAGGTAGGATTAGCAGTAGCTAATGACTACCAAATTCGCTTTATTTAGAGTAACAATACGCCGTCACGACTATACTAGTATTACGGTTAATGATTAGTGACATAGGTTTGAAATTTGTCAAATGAGATAGGAGGACCATATTAAACTTACTGATATTGGTCAATATTGGTCGAAATTCATAATCAAGAACTACTTATTTAAGAAGTTGGGATGTGGGTCACGATCAAGAAAAAGAATAAACAAGCTAGGTGGGAGCAAATCAATTGAATAGTTGGCCATACAATAATTACACGATCATTCTAATTATAAGTCGCAAAAATAATTACATGCATAATTGCAAAGTACAAATGTACAACTAATAATTATTACATCTGATAAGGAATTAAGGGTGAATAAAATAAGACTTCTTTTTCTTTTGGGCACCAATCAGAATTGGGGGCTTAGCCAATTAAGGCTGTTTGGGCCCCCATTGATCATCATTTTGGGCCGGAAACGGACTAGAGACCTGCAAACAAAAAAAGAAAATATTAGAAGAGCAACCTAAAATAAAAACCCACAACCCAGGCCCATATTCAGGCCCAATTGACTCTGGTCAACTCTGGTCAACTTGGTCGACCCGGGTCAACCCAATCAAGTATGGTCAGCCCGGGCCAACTCTGGTCAACCCCGTCAACCAAACCCATCATTCTTATCTAAAGGAGCAGCAGAGTAGCAGAGCAGCAGAGTCTCTGCCAAATCTAAAAAAGAAGATTTCGGCCACCTCCTCCAAGAACCAATCCCAAATTGCCAACAACATAAGTGGCTAAGGCTACCACTTCAAGAGCAAAGGAGGAGCAGCCAACACACAGGTATGAACAGTAAAAGGCAGCCATATATAAGGAGCTGTTTTACCCCCCAAACAAGAGAGGGAGGAGGAACCAACAACAAAAACACACAAAAAGGGAGACAAAGAGCATTAAAAGGCACTAAGCACCAAAAAAGACAGAAGCACTAAGGATCCAAAAAGGGCAGGGAGTCAGAAACAGCAACGAGCCATCACCATCAAAATCCACTAAATCACAACACAGGTTGGTATTCTCTACACCCCATTAACCGTACAAGCATTCTAGTTATTCATACATCCATGTAGAAGATCTACTTAACATATGATACTTCTAAATTTATAATCCATGGTTAAATTGCTTGAGTTTGTATGTAAAAGGGGGTATTATGAAATCCTGATCTTTGTGATATGTATGTTTCTCTTTACCATTCATTCTTTTTAATTTTTGTTACATGCTACAAGAGACCGTTTCCATTTATAGTCAACATACAATAAATTAGCTTAAATCATTCTCAGCTTTTTTTTCTAGCAAGCATGATTCAGGTTAAATTGTTAGGTGAACTTAGCAATAATATCAACTAGGCTAATCCGTTTACTCATTCAACACATCAAAAAATCCAGCAATCTACTCAAAACACAAAATAAGATTCAAACCAGATCTTTGAGAGAGTATTTTAAAATACCTCATTTTATGTTTAAGGGCGCCCCTTTTCTTTACTCAATTACCAGATTTGGTAATCACAAAGTTCTCATTTAGTTGTTGTATGCTGAATACAATAAAAGCCCTGCCTTCATTAAGAATTCCATTTATTACCAATTAACATTAGCCTTTTAATCAATTATTTAACCACTTAAGAGAAGCTTCCCATCAAGCTGATGGTCATGAGCGGCGGCTATGGCCCAAATTCGTATAGAAGCTTCCCATCAAGCTGATGGTCATGAGCAGTAGCTATGCCCAACAAAGGAAGTAATTTTCAAAGCATCCCAATAAAACTGTTTTAAGCTAAATAAATAAATCATAGGTTCTTAGCAGCCGATCGAGCAAAAAAAATCTAGATTGAGAGGGATATCACCTAGTCTCTTCAAATTGAATAGATCTGCAAACAACAATTAAGAAATTAAGAATCAGAACCCCAAATAATGATAATAAATAAAAAGCAGAATAGCAAAAAAGGTTAAAATAAATAACCTACCCACAACCAAATCCTCGCCGTCGGCTCTGGTGCAGGCCGTGCCGCCGGCGACCGCCGCCCTTCCCTTCCTTCCCTCGGCAAAGATCCGAAACCAAAAAAACAAAAAAACAAAGGAAAGCCAAACAAGTCAAAATCCCAAATAAAATCACCTAAATCGAACGAAATGGACATGCATGTAGAAAAGGGCTTACCAGAGGGTAAAACCTCCTCGTCGCCACCTCTGTTCCAACTAGAAATGATAGATCGAGATTATTATAAGGCAAATCGAGGCCCCCTCCTCGGTTTTGGATCGATCTCCGAAAGAAAAACAAGAAAAAGGTTAGAATCTCGCTCAAAAACCCAGAAATAAAAAAAACAAACTTGCATGCAATGATCTTACCTAGATCGAAGGTCTCCCGCTCGTTTTTTAGCGACCTTCGTCATATCGAGGGACGAGAGGGGAGAGCGGCGGCGGCCGCCTTGAGCAAGGCTAGGGTTTGGGTTTCTTTTCTCTGAGCAAGAGAGAGAGACGAGGATTGAGGGAAGAGAGGGATGAGTGCGGCGGCTAGGGTTCTCTGGAGAAGATGAGAACGAGAGGGAGAGAGGCGAGGGTTAGAGAGGGAGGCGGCTAGGTTTTGGTCTGATTCTGGAAGAGGAAGAGAGAAGTGGAAGGATAGAGGGACGAGAGAGAGGCGGCCGATTTTGGTTAATAGGTTAGGGTTTTTTTTTTAGAGACTATATATACCCCATCGTCTAAAATGACTAAAATGCCCCACGGGTTTTCAGCTTATTACGCGGCCCTGCCACCGCGTTTTCGTGAAACTACGAAATTGCCCCTCCCCTTTCTCTGAAACCAAAAAGCGACGAAACAAAAATGAGGCTGGCGGACTTCGAACCCGCGTCCCCAACAACAACATCACTATGCTTGGGAGCATAACCAGTTGGGCTGCTGGCCCATCATCCGTCAATTTAACCTTTCCGCTTAATTTTATTCCTTCAAAATCCTTAATACGAAATGTAGAATTGCGGATTAAGTTTATCTCGTTTTTTTAATACGTCACAATACTTCCTAATAACTAAAATACTTGCATCTATCGTCATAACCTCATGTTAATCTAAATGCATTTTTATTATTAACAAAATTATAATACGAAAATCATGATCAGTGGAACGTGATTACAATTAAATTATCAAAGTTCTAATGAACTACGTGGACTTTGATCCCGTCTAACGGGTACGTAGGCAACCAATAAGGTTCGAGTCCAACTAATCAACCAACTTTATCTTTAAATTTTTACGTCAGTGGGCGTATAATTAATTACAACTAATACGATAAGATCGTTAAATGGTCCAGTGGGACCCTAAAATTACAAAATTATTACCAAAATACACCCAACTCGCATAAAAACTTATCGACTTAAGTAGTACCGATTTAGGGCGTTGTGGGGGTGTTGCTTAACTTCCCCACACGTAACCGTACTCCCGAACCCAGAACTTTATTTTCGCAGACCATGCCTCGGTTCTGACATTAAGGTTAGAGCCGATTTGAAGAGTGTTCGATCCACTCCAAGTAAGATCGATGGCGACTCCAAAAAATGCCGGCGCGACGACATTCGGACCCCCCGGACGGGACGGTTGCGACACTTATTATAAAATAACACGGGGTCGAATGTCTAAAATCGAAAAATTCATAAAGACTATACTAATAGCGGATCCAGAGGAGGGCTGGGCCGGGGCCTGGGGTGGCCACCCCTTAGATCCGCCAGTGGTCCCATGCCAGATGAAGCGTATTGGCCTATATACGCTGGAAAGTTGATTATCCCACCGTTGCACCTAAAATGCACCAAGGGTCGTCCTAGAGTTGAAAGGATACACAATGAGATGGATCAAGTTTAACGCACGAGACGAGGACCGAAGCGATGCTCCAAGTGCAGAAAACCTGGTCATGACAAGAGGCGTTGTCCAGGACAACCACAACAACATGGAGCTCCTTTAACCGAGGACCAATGATGTACAAGTCATCTATCTTAATTTTAATTGTCAGTGATCGTCAAAATTATATAGACGTCGCATGTTTTATTTATTCACTTTAAAATGTTCTCCTTGTCGATACGATCGCGTAGCCGCAAACGGCTCGTTATTTTGATCTCAAACGAATAAGATACGTTCGTTTTAGTTTTAGGTACGCAAACGTTACTCTAATGACATGTGCAGGTTTGAACTAACTTATCTCACTCGTTTGGACTCGTAATTGAGATTTGTAAAATTATACGTGATCGTGGTTGATTTTCTCAACTTTTTCATTTTGATACTAATTCTTGATAAATTGATCCAGAATATTCGCTCATGAAATGTCATCAATAAAGTGTTTCAATGACAACTTAAGTGTGTAGGATAGTTCAATGCAAACTCAAATGACAAGACCTAAAAAGCATGGAAAACAACATGGATAGTTCACTACAATGACATAAAACTAGAATAAACACGATAATTTCACTCATTTGCTTCATTCTGGCCCCCATTTCTACCTCTTTCTCCTCTTCCTCCACGACGTCCTTAACCCCTTCTTCCCCCTCCTCCTTCTTCTTCTTCGCGGGCTCGCTCAACGACTTGCCGCGGATGTCTCCTAACCCGAGCCCCTACTAAAGTTACGAGTGCCGGTGGAGGTGGCGGTGTCTGAGATGGACCGGTAGACTGCTGGTAGATCGGGATGTGAGGGGTCTGCTGCTGCGGGGTGTGATACATCGAAGTATGTTGCTGAGATGGAGCATAGCTTGATGACCCTCCAGCGAAATCCGGTGCAGGTGCCCACGAGTACTCAAATGGTTCGGGGAGCTCGGTTGCTTGAGTTGTACGCACCTCTTCGAAAGTAGGCAGATGCCTATGTTTGCTCCTTCGTGGGGGCTCAAATGGGTCACCTTCACGGAATGATGGGTGTGCCGGAGCGGGAATGGGAGGATAGGCCACGACATCCCTCCTTTGCTCTCGTGTACAACTCAAGAGGTTGTTCATAAGCCTGCTCAACCATGAAGTTTTGCGCTCATCCATGGTTGGAGCACTATCGAGGGTGTGTTTGGCGTGTTCCAAACCATCAACCTAAGCATGTACATAATAAATCAAAATTAATTAAACCTTAAAACAAAATAATTAGACTCACGAGGGAGATTAGGATGACTTACCAACGAACCCATCACATCACATTGCTTTGACACCCATCTATTGGTGAACTTCCGATACCACTGCATGTACCCATCGTGGTAGCCCATCGGTCTCGTCTCCGGCATCCCTTGGACCACCCATGTCCCTCTATTATCCCAGATGTTGATGTAGTACTGATGCTTTAGGATCCAATTCTTTGAAGCATGTCGGAGGTCGATGGCATGAAGCTCCCTGAAACCTCGAGGCGGGTCTTGTGGAATTGGTTGCTCCATTCGATATTGCCTCAAGCAACAATCGGATAGGTGCCACTACACGACGTGCCAACAGATCAATGGCACCTTGCACAACCACGTCTCGTGATCCAGAGGGTTTCTAAGATGATGCAGTTCGACCACTTCACGTGGGTATGGATCCCAAATAACCTATATTCATTGAAATAATGCAATTAGCGACCATTTACATTGAAAAACCTTAACTTGTTAAAATATGACAGAACATGATTACCTGATTCCACCAAGGCTAATCTAACTCAAAACGATAAAACAGTAACGAATGCTCAGGTTGATGGTCATTCGTATTTGCTCCTATCCACCTTGTAAGTAAAAGCATGGAATAAATTTAAATTAGGCTAAGTACGGATTAAATTCAATTTAAATCTAGCTAAGCATGAATAATTTTAAATTAGCCTAAGTACGAAATAAATTCAATTTAAATCAAGCTAAGCATGGAATAATTGTAAATTAGGCTAAGTACGGAATAAATTCAATTTAAATCTAGCTAAGCATGGAATAAATTTAACTTAGGCTAAGTACGGAATAAATTCAATTTAAATCTAGCTAAGCATGGAATAATTTTAAATTAGGCTAAGTACGGAATAAACTTACTTGACACCGTAAGTGGGATTTTGCAGAAAGTTTAGCTCATCATCGGCTCTCCGGTATGGACGTGGGTCTAGAGGTGAGAACATTGGAAGATGCTCCCATACCCATAGCTGTAGGATAAACATCGCATCACTAGCTTGTTTTGCTCCCACCTTCGAGCAAGTGCACAGCTCCCGGTATAGGCCAGCTAACACGGCCGATCCCCAACTCTTTTCCCCGATTGCGTCCCAGTCACCATTGAGCAATGAAAACCATATGCCTTGAATCCACCGGTTTGACTTGTCGGGGAACAGAAATTCACCCACCAAACCAATGAGGTAGATGCGTGCATAGAGCTCCACTTGATCTTCCGGAGTCTCGTCATTGATTTCCACCTCATTCTGGATGTGAGTTACCAGCCACAGGATCGACACTTGTCCCGCATTCAACGGTGGATGCCCCCGTCCTTGAATTGGTGTGGTGGTCGGCATGTCAAATCCCAATTCAGCAAGAATGAGCGGCCCCGAACCTCCTTCGGGTTTGGTAGTGGAACCAATGATGGCATCTCCAGAAATCGGCAGCCCGGTGAGGATCGCCACGTCTTTGAGGGTGATCGTCATTTCCCCCTTCGCAAGGTGGAACGTATGGGTTTCGGAACGCCATCGCTCCGCCATTGCCGTAAGCAGATCGTTGTCGATTTCGATCTGCATGAAATGGCGCAACATACCCAACCCGGTCCTCTCTATATAGGGCGCCAACCGTGGATGCCAAGCGAGCAAGTTTGTGGTCCCTTTATGAACGAAGGGAATAAGTGATTCCTTCAAAAAAATAGGAAAAACATCAATTTGTTAGTTTAAATAAAGCAAAATAAAAACATTAGAAAATAATAAAATAAAGCAAATAAATCATCAAATTACCGGATTCTTATCCCAAATAGCACGGGAGCGATTAGCTTCTTGATCGGTTAAGAGACTCATATCTCTTGGCCCATAATGGATATACAATCGAGGATCGTATATCTCGGCACCCATCTATAAAAAAGTAATGAAATCAGAGATTGTTTTGATAAAAAAATAATCACAAAATCAAATTGTTTCGATTAAAAATAATAAAAAACCTACACGAAGAGCCTCTTCGTCCATTTTTTGGCAGAAGCCGGCCAGAGGTTCGACGAGTTAGGGTTTGTAAAGGACGGGAGCTTAGCGGGACGGGGGCTTTAGGGTCAAACTCTAGTAATTCTTTCTGATGTGGAAGATCGAACTTAGCCGCAACCACAGAGCATAATTAGAACGAGACTAGAGCGGATAAATTGAGGGAGAAAGAAGTGAAATTGTTGTGGTGTGATTTGTAAGTGGGGTGGGGGGAGGGTCTATTTATAGTTGGGGGAAGGTGGGGAAGGGTTCTGCCGAGCATTAAGTGGGGAGCATTCACCGCGTCCCTCAAAGGCGGTGAATGCATCGCCCTTCCCAAAAACGGTGCCAGACTGCGACGTGGCGTGCTGTGAGGCGTCGGATATGGGAAGAAAACCATGATCCGCGCCTCACCGCATCCAACGGCCACGGTCAAAGGAAAATCGACGCGGATCGCTGACGCAAACAAACACGGTGTATTCACCGCGTTTGTCTAACGCGGTGAATACATCGCATTTGTCCACGTCAGCGATCCGCGTCGCTTCATCGTGGCACACAGCAGCGGTTTAAGTTACACCGCCTTAGATTAAAACGGTGAATACTTCACCGTTTTCATCTAAAACGATGATTGACTCGCTAGTAATTCACCGTTTTAGATGAAAACGGTGAACACTTCACCGTTTTTTTTTAAACGGTGAAATATTCACCGCTTTTGTCAAACGCGGTGATAATCTTCACTGCGTTTGTCAAAAACGGTGAATGCCAAACATGTGTAGTTTTGGAAATTTTTTTATAACTTATGTATTTTGGGAATTTTTTTTAAGAACTAGTGTACTTTGGGATTTTTTCCTGAAAAATAAGGTTGATAATAAGGTTTCCATGATGAGTCATGGAAAAATGGAGGAAGAAATAATGGGTTAATTACATGGTTAGTCACTGAGATTACAAAAAAACGTTCATGTTTGGTCACTCGAAATATTTAAATCCATTGATGGTCCCTTAATTTAGTGAAACCATTCACGTTTGGTCACTCTTCGTTAGTTGCCGTCCATCTCCGTTAACAGAGTCCGTTAAGTGATGACGTGGCAGACGGAATCGCCTAATCAGCCATAATTAACACGAAAATAATGAGACTCGACTCGCCATGTCATCTAGATCAACCCAACCTTCTAACCAGACCAAACCCAATCTTTGAACTGACCGACCACACAAATTAAATCCCTAAAATCCAAATCAGATCTCCATTAACAACCTTCACTTTCTTCCACACTTATCCTCTTCCAGAAAATGACCCATGGAGATTCCTTTCTGCTCCCTCCACCAAATCTCCATTTCCAGAAAATGTGCCCATGGAGATTCATTTCCGCTCCCTCCACTAAATCTCTATTTCCAGAAAATGCCCCATGGAAATTCTTGTCCAGAAAAATCCCCCATGGAGGTCCTCCTCTCTTCGCTGCTATTAAGCGGCGACGGCGCTCCGATTCCACCTTGCATCCGACCCGTGTGACATCTCAGCGGGGCCTACGGCTACGGTGACCTGGTCCGGGCCGAGTACGGGATGGCGATGGTCGGGCTCAGCGAGTCGTTGTTCGACGTGGCTAGATCTCTGGTGCGTGCTTCGAGCTCCGCTACGTCGACGACCTCTGGTGGTGCATCCGAGGGACTTCGTTTATCGTCGCGGTGACAAACATCTGCCCTCCTAATTACAGATTCCCTTCCGACGGCGGGGTCACTATAACCCTAGCCAACAAGCACTTCGTTGCGGGTGAAATATCGCACAGAGAGGAGGAAGAAAGTGGGGAGGAAGGAGGTGAACCATCGAAGAAGGGATGAGTGGAGATCTGATTTTGATTTTAGATATTTAGTTTGTGTGGGTTGCTCAGTTCAAAGATCGGGTATGGTCTGGTTAGAGGGTTGGGTTGGTTCAAATGACATGGCGGGTATTAGTGACGTGGCGGGTCGGGTCTCATTATTTTCGGATTAAATAGAGCTGATTAGGCGATTCCGTCTGCCACGTCATCACTTAACGGACTCTGTTAACGGATATGGACGGCGACTAACGGAGAATGACCATACGTGAACGGTTTCACTAAACTAAGGGACCATCAATGGATTTAAATATTTCGAGTGACCAAACATGAACGTTTTTTGTAATCTCAGTAACGCATCTATAAAATTTAGGGTAAATGTCAAGTTTGGTCACTGGGTTTACTAAAATATGTCATGTTTAGTCACTCAAAAAGATTAATATCAATTTTGGTCACTCGAATTAGTAAAACAGAACACGTTTAGTTACTCTCCGTTAACTTTAGCTGATGTGACAATCAATCCTATTAGTTGACCATTAAATGTCTGACGGGGCAATTAAAAAATTAATAAAACTAAATTTAATTCTTTTAAAATTTTGGGACAATGACATAAATATTGTTTTTTTTTTAAAATTTACCACGAATATGGCCAATTAATAACTATTGACAAAGATATTGTGTTTTATACATCAGAATCGGCGGGTACACCTGAGACTCACGCGCCGCCGCTTAAGACTTGGTTTTTGGACCGTTTTATTAGACTCAGGCGGTGGCGCCCGAGTCTCAGGCGGCGGCGCCCGAGACTGAAGCGAGTAGGTGGGAAATTAAGACTCCGGCGGTGGCGCCCGAGACTGAGGCGAGTAGGTGGATTGGCCACCCACCCTATAAAAACCCAGACAGACTTTTCGTTTCAGATTCACACCACAAAAAAAATCGTCCAAAATAGAGGAGAGAGCTCTGGTTGCTGCTGCAAAAATGGCTAGGTAAGAGACACATTTATTTTTGTAATTATATTATTCAAATGCTATTATGATTGTGTTTAGTTTTTAATTAGTGAGTTTGTTTTTTTGTAGTGATTTTAGAAGATTTGAACTAGTTGTTCGGTGGAAATCGGAGAAAGTAGAGGATAATTTGGGTGTCAAATTCGTTGGTGGTAGTAGTTTTCAGTTGACGGTTCCATCCAGAGTCACATATCACAAACTTTGTGAGACTCTAATTCCGAGAATACGGCGCAGAGACGAAGCAGTAAAAGATAGTGATGTGATCACAGGTTTCACTTACCGTCTTCCAGAATGGCAGAATGATGTTTTATTTCATTATGCGTCACCTATTGTGGATGATGATAGCTTGGATGTGCTTTGGAATTTTATGGCACAAAATCCTTATTGTTTGGGTGCTGAGATACATGTTGAGCTCAGTGATGATCAGGGTGGAGAGGAAGAAGATGATACATGGAGCGTGCCATCCGATCATGACTATGATCACGGTGATGACGGAGAGGAGGAAGATGAGGAGGAGGAGGAGGAGGAGGAGGAGGAGGAGGAGGAAGGAGAGCAACTTAATTATCCTCCATATTTTTACTTGCAGGGCAATGAAGATGACGAAGAATTTGCACTTGCTGGTTCATATGGCGTAATTCCAATGCCTATTGTTGATAGTTTTGAAGGAGAATTCTACAAGGGGCAGATATTTCACTCGAAACAAGCTGCACAGATGGCGATTAAACACCACGCACTACAACGCAACTTTCTATATGGCGTGGTGGAGTCGTCACCTTCAATATGGAAGGTCAGATGTTTGAGGCACAAGGATGACAATTGTCCTTGGATGGTGCGGTTTGGATGTCGAGATGTTGGGGGCGAATGGACTGTGAGAAAAGCTGAGTTGGTGCATTCTTGTAGCAGTACGACTCAACCGACGGATCATCGCCATCTTGATGTTGACATGATATCTGAGGCCGTCAAACATTTGGTACGTGCCCAACCAAATCTGAGTGTTCTAACTGTTCAAGCCGAGTTGAAAGATAAGTTTAATATGCAAGTTACTTACAAGAAGGCTTGGTATGGGAAACAAAGAGCATTGGAGAAGTTGCATGGAAATTGGGAAGAATCCTACGATTTTTTGCAAACATTCTTGCGGGTGGTCAAGAGAAAAATGCCAACATCGGTGATTGATTGGGTAACAGTTCCTTCGACTCAACCTGGTCATTTAATATTTCAGCGAGTATTCTGGGCTTATGGACCTTGTATAGATGGATTCAAGAATTGTCCAGGCGTCATGGTTGTGGATGGAACATTTCTTACTGGGAAGTATAAAGGAGTGCTACTCATGGCGAGCTCATTTGATGGCCGGAGGAAGATTTTTCCAATTGCATTTGCCAAAGTGGAGAGCGAGAATACTGAGAGTTGGCCATGGTTCATGAGGAAGGTTCAGGGTTTGACTGATCGAAATGATGTATGCATCATCTCAGATAGACATGCAGGACTCTATGAAGCCATGAATAACATCGGAAGAGGTTGGGAGTGGAGGTGGTGCATGCGACACTATGCAAGCAATTTGCAAAGGAAGACTCGAAGTAAAATTATGTATAATCAACTATTTCGAGTCGGTAAGCTTTCTTCATTTAATTTTGTTATTTGTTTTCATGTAATTTTGTCATGAATTTATCTAACACGTGTTGTGGTTTATTTTGTTAGCCGGAGAAAAACGGTTGGAGAAGTTTGATCGTCAAGTTGAGCAATTTAAGAAGGTGGCCGCTGATAGAAATATTTCATGTGATAACTGGGTGGATCAACATCAGATTCGTTGGAGTTTAGCACATGATAACTACAATGGTGGGGGTCGTTGGTCTATCCTGACATCCAACATGGCAGAAAGCGTCAATGGTGTTTTCAAAGGTATTCGTGCACTTCCGATAGCTTCTCTTGTGCAGCATACCTATTGGCGATTGGTGGAGAAATTCGATATGTATAGGTTGGAGACAGGAGCAGAAATTAGAAGTGGCGGTTCACAGTACTCCACCAAGTGCGAAGAGCTGATGAAGTACAGGTCACAAAAGGCAATTGGACATTCTGTGACAGCTCTTGATCGAGGTCAAGGCATCTATGTAGTTCAGACTCCTCCCAACAATTTCAACATGACAGGGTCAAACACACTCACAGTTCACTTTGACGATCAAAACCGGGCAGGATTTTGCACTTGTGGTAAATTTCAAGGAAATAAAATTCCTTGCTCTCATGCCATTGCAGCTTGCAACCGAATGGGGGCTAATGCGTATAGGTTTGTCAACAATGTCTACAAGCTGGAAACAGTGATGGCTTGTTATGGGACAAGTTTCGCACCTCTTGGTGAACCTAAGGGTTGGAAGAAACATAATGGTCCTATTCTCCATCCTAATGTGCACATGATTAGGAAGCCGGGGAGGCCACGAGTTACAAGGATCCACATCGTCTCCCTAAACACCTCATCACCCTCTTGCCACAGGTCGGGAGTCGTCGCTGCTCTAGTATCACCACCTGATCCCATCGTAGCATGCTGCGGTGTATGGAAGCTATCCTCTGGCTGATAGAAGCTCGATGACGGATCTGACTGAAACTGCTGTCGTCGCGGCGGCTGAAAGCTCGAAGACGGATCTGACTGAAACTCGTGTCGTCGCGGCGGCTGAAAGCTCGAGGAAGGATCTGACTGAAACTGCGTCCGAGGCGGATTAAACTGGAAGCTCCTCGATGTAGGCCGGATGGGCTGTGCTCGCTGTCGATCGGAAACCCGAAATGGGTTAGGTGCATCACGATGCTCACGTCGCTGTCTACGTGGCCTATGCTCCTGTCTGAACTGTGGCTCTGGGACGACCCAGCCCGGTGTCGGATCAGTACGCTCTGGCCAGGCAGTCATGACGGGCCCCTCATAATGGCGCTGTACAGGTACTGTCAGATCAGGGTATCTACGATCCTCAAACACTAGAGCAGCAACCCCGGATGCCATAAAGTTGGCCAAGTCCTCACACTGGTCGGGGGTCAGCCCTCCAGACCGTACACCGTCACGCAAACTCACCTCAGCATGCTCGATAGTGTCGTACTTAAAAACACCAACAAAATGTCAGATATTTCACACAGTTAACAACAAATTAAGCAAACAAATCAAATAACTAACCAATGCCTCCGTTGCAGCTCCTCTCCGTGTGCCGGATCGTCTGGTGACATCTCTATACCACTCCATATGCTCCGAGTGGTAGGCTAACTCCTCATCAGTATATGGAGCCGTCGCTACAAACTCGTGTCGACGGTTCCAGAAAGCAATCGACTCTCTGGAGGCGTGTACCAACTGCTGCCCACGCGATGGCCCACGAGTAGCCTGGCGAAGAAAAAACCTAACCTCAGCCTCAGAATGTGGCTGATGAGGCTCATGCTGTCTCATGCCAAACTGCCGGAGCACGCGGTCTGGATGATGCCACATCAGCGATGAAAAGCAGATAAGTGGCACTACTGCTCGAAATGTCTCAGACTGTAGCACACTACCTCTGAGATGAAGTGCTCTCTCAAAGTAAGGTTGCCACTACATTAAATCCAAAAATTAACGTTATTATCCCTAAATCTAAAAAAATAAAACAAATGAAAACTATTATATAAAATGAAATGTTATATACTAACCACCACGGTGTCCATCGCGTCAAACCACAGCTTGTACTGGAATAGCTGGTCACCATACTGACGACTGTTGGCCGAAAGCCATCGAAGACCACGTGGGAATGCATCCTCAGTGGCCTGTGCCCTCGTCTCCTCGTCTCGAGGTGCCAGATGTGGGAATCGCTCCCACGCCCAAAACTGCAGTAGGGCGACCCATCCACCAAGGTCACCGCTAAGAGAAGTGCCGGTATGCGTAATGTGCAAAGTCGACCTACCCATCTCTCGGTACAGGTAGGATAAAACAGCAGCTCCCCAGGCAAACCGTCCAGCTCTCTCCCAATCCTCAACCAGAAGTAGGTACTGTAGGTGCACCGTACTTCCAGACCGATCCGAGAAAAGTACACCTCCAAGCAGAGATAGAGCATAAGCTCGTGCAAACTGCTCTATAACCTCCTGTGATGCATTCTCCGGCAGATGACTGAATTCAACCCTCAGCCAAACAATCCTAACAACAGCGACACTGCCTACAAGATCGGCCGGAACTCGTCCCAACAGTCTCAAACAGATCGCCGACCACTCCTCATCCGGTATATCAACTACGACGGCATCACCGTCGATCGCCAGACCGGACAGTGTAACAACGTCCTCTAACGTGATCGTCATCTCACCACACGGTAGATGGAAGGTCGACGTCTCGGGGCGCCACCGCTCTACGAGCGCAGTAATCAAACTAGCATCGGGGTTCATAGGGACTAGGGGCACGACACTAAACAAGCCTGCCGCTTCGAGATATGGCCGATAAAGCTCATGGTAAGGTACTAAAATGGTCGTACCTCGAACATGGTACGGTCGATCACCAGCCTATAGTGCACAAAACTTATATTAATTCATTTTCATTCGTAATAATTCTAATTTCACCTAATAAATTCTAATCTGTCTTATCTAACATAAAATTATACTAATTTCACCTAACAGTTCAGTTCAGTTCACTACCTAAAATAATCTAATTAGCTAATTAACTTTACATGAATAATTATCAAATACTTACCTCGTTTGTCCAAACAGAGTCGATACGATGTTGGCCGTGTCCCCAAAGAAGTGTCGGATCGACCGGACTTGGATCAATTGTCGCCGGCGGTAATCTCATCGAATAAGGATCCATAAGCCTCGGAACTGCAAAACCAAAGCAACAAAACATTAAAAAAAACACAAAACATTAAAAAAAAAATCAAGTTGCCGAAGAGAGTCTCACCGCGCAAACGGCCGCCGGCTCCACCACGACCTCGCCGACCTCTACCTCTGCCTCTGCCGGCGGCGACTGGTTCTTCGTCGGAGGACATCTCGGGCGGCGGCGGTTCAGTCCAAGGCGGCGGCGCTACTGTCTGCGGCGGCGGCGCTCCTCTCTGCGGCGGCGGCGCCCGAGTGTGCGGCGGCGGCGCCTGAGTCTGGGGCGGTGCTGCGGGCGGCGGGCGGCGGTTCGGGGTTGGGGTGGAGGAAGAAGAAGGAGGGAGGAGGAGGTTGGGTCTGCTGGTTCGGGGTTGTGGGGAGGAAGAAGAAGGGAGGATATGTGTGGTGGTGGGGAGGGGATAAGGTGGGAGGGGCCCGTCCAAAATTAAAAAAAAATTATTCCGGGGCGCTCCCGCCTGAGTCTCGGGCGCCAGCGCCTCAGACTAATTAAAAAAATTTGTCTGAGGCGGGGCCGCTTGAGACTGGGGCGCCGGCGCCCAGGACTGAGTAAAAATTTAGTCCCGCCTGAGTCTCAGGTGGTCCCGCCCCAATCCTTACTAAAAACCACAATATCTTTGTAAATAGTTTTTAATTGGCCATATTCGTGGTAAATTAAAAAAAAAACAATATTTCTGTCATTTACCCTAAAATTTCCACATCACTAAATTAATAAACAAAAATAAAACTATAAAATCGTTTCCCATCCGACCAAATTCGTTTTCCCATCAAACTCCTTATCTCAATCCAGATTGGTGCTGAAATTGGAGGCAGATTGATGATTGTCCTTCCCTTTACTTTCGTCGGATAAGTTAACCCTGTACCGCATAACAATTCAGAAAGACCACTCCGCATCCCCAGCTCTTTCTTCTCTCATGGTCTCATTCAGAAAATAAAACGATAACACCAAATTCATCACTAAATAAGAATCTTTAGCTTCCAAAATGTTAGGAGGAATCAAAGAGAAATATGCATAAATCACTGGAGCACAAAATCTATCAGATTGGATTATTAAAGATTATACATTCGCCCAAGCGATAAAACCAAATTCAGTAGATGACTCTAGTGGAGCCGGCGAGCCCAATCTGTGTGTATATATGCCAACTCTTTTGGTTCATCGAAAATATATCTCCTTGGACACTTACTCACAACTTCATCGGTCAAGGCTTTGTATTTCCTGACAACTTCACGAGCATTCTTCTCATCATCATCATCGTCAAAACGATAAAATTGTGTTGTTGCACCCTCCTCCTTGGCTTCCACTCTGTTTATATAATCTATCAGTACTTCACTCTCAAATTCTCTATACAGCTCAAGCTCTTCCTCATAATTAATCTCCGAATAGCGCCTTAACTTCCTCATCAGCCCCCCCTTGACATACTCTTCCTCGATGAACTCTGAAGGGACTAACAATCTGACCTTCTCCGCCAATTTGTCCTTGATATCATCTGTGTATTATTCAATATGCAAATAAAGGAAACAATAATACCATCAGAGTGACTAAAAATTACAAAATCAAGACTCGTTTGGTATCATTGTTTTTTTGTTGTGGTTGCAATATACTGTTGTAACAACAAACGCACAAATATATTAACCCATGTTTTTAGTGTTGTGGTTAGGATGTTTAGTTTGGACAAAGTTCAGACCATACAAATATATTAACCCATGTTTTTAGTGTTGTGGTTTCACACATAAAAACAGAGAACGGGAAAATGACACTAAACAGGTTCTTGGGTTGGAAAACTTGCCTGGAAGAATGAGGTTGGCATAATTGTCGAAGTATTCGGCTCTGGTTGTTGTATATGTCACTTGAGCTGCTCTGCACATCACATCTGGATACGCGGTCACCATGTGATCATGCTTCCCTGACAGTCTCATCTTCAGAAGCTTTTTCCTGATCGCAGGAAGCAAATGCTTTTTGCCTTTGAGGTATTCCCTCAACAAGTTCTGCAACTCTATAATCCAATCTATACAATCCAAAACCCCAGGATTCATTATCCCAAATATAACGGGTAATATCAAAGTTTTTAAAATTTGAGTTTTGTAAAACCCATGGGTATACGGAGCTTTGGATTCATTATGAATTTGAAAAAACATCATTGTTGGTTTTATAGATTTCATGTGGTTAAATTTGTACTGTCCTCATTGGTAAAAAAAAAACTAAATAGGAGAGATCATTTCTCATCTAAACCGGTGGGATATTCAAGTCCTTAGAGAGGTAGAGCTTACGGATCCGGGAGTCCCACAATCCATCAAGAAACAAAAGGAAAAACAGAGAGAATAACTAGTTGGTTTTACCTCCCCTGAGGATTATCGCTTCTTTCTCTATATAGACACCCTGAATCTCCTCCGGCAACTCCTTATTATTGGTTTCAGCCCTGAACTTGAGAATCGATTCCATTATCAAACCGGGGAGCACATCCCTCCCTACGCGGCCCTTGTAGTAGCTGTTCATCAAATTCTTGAACCCTAGAAACCAATCTAAGCTCCCCCGGTTTCAAAAACCAGAATTAAGAAAGAAAATCTGCGATTAGTAAGATAAATTCGTCTCAATCAATCTGCTTCGACGAATCATATATATTTTTCTTTTACCTAGGTGGTGCTCCGTACCGACCTCGACCTTGAGCTGCTCCAGCGCACATAACTCCTCCGCCGGGTACGGCCTAGCAGAAGCTGCAACAGCCGGCGACGGAGGTACGACTGAGCAACGAGGATTAGTAGAGCCTACAATGTTGCGAGACGAAAGGAGGAGGAGCGGACGCCAAGCTACCAAGTTTCTCGACAGCGGAGATAGCCGCGGCGGCAGCAGCATCATCTTATTTGTTTAGAGTGTACGACAACAGAGGGTTACCGAATGTTGCCCTAGTGTTTATAAGGGTCTATACTTTACACTACAAGGGAATGGGCCAAGCCCAGTGGTTCTCTTTGAGCGGTTAAGAGTAACTGATGCCGGGCTTTATGTTTCTTCCATTTGGCAGCAAATGGTCCATCAGTTCCCATAACCGCTAAGAGGCCCAACAAAATAACAAATATATTATTTTTTTATTTGATATCTCAAAAGCTCTTCTCTTTTAGCAAATGTCAATGCTACGGTGCCGCTATAAAAACTAAAAAGTATGACACCGGCGACGCGGAATATGATTGGGCCACATGGAGTTGATGTGGCATGGCTGAAATTATAGAATTAGAGCCTAAACCGATTGGTCCATGAAAACTATCCCTAACCACAAGGTGACCAAACGGACGGAAAGTTTTCAGTCTTCCTTATTTGTTTTGCACAAAACCAAGAAAAAATAAAAATGAACGCACTTGCTTGTTTTTTGTCGATCTCCCTCTCCGGCGGACTCTACAAAAGGACTTCCCGCGACTACTACGTCGCCAATCCAATATCCAGAGACTATCAAAGGGCTCTACTGAAAGCGTTCACAGTTCACTCATCCTTCGTATAATCGATAAAACAAAGGCAACGACGCTTTTCATTCGATAGGATTTGGTGAATTTTGCATCCTTACATCGATCATTTAATGCGTAGGATTCAATTCGCATATAGATTTCTCCTTAGTTTCTGGTAAGTGGGGAAAAAATTTAATCTTGAGGATGAGAGGGTTGTTCTATGATTGTGATGCAAGTAGGCTTGCTTTGGCTTCTTTCCCAATTGGTTCTAACATTGTAACATGAGCAGCATTGTGAGTTTCTGGTTGGGGGCTCTATTTATCTAATTCGAATTTAATGTCATTGCTTGTGTTGGTGAATTCTACATACAAGAATGTATATTGTATTAACTAGTGGAGGCTCTGTGATGATTTCTGCAGTAATTTGTTGGAATTGTTTAGAAATGTTTGAATATGTTGATTGTTAGTTCAATGGTTATTGAAATGAAAGTCACGAAATTTTTTGTTTAGTGACTTGTTTTCTGTTGATTGATTACGCAGGGAGAAGGGAAGAACCTCTGTGGTCATACATTCTACTTATGTTCATCCGTCGAGAAAGCACACATGTCTGGTAAGATATGAATACATCAAAGTTGGCAGCTACAGTCCTTGGGGCTTGGGGGTGTTGATAATATCTGGATTGTAATAAACTGTTCTTTGCTTCTATTTGATTTGATTATCCATATTTTGTCTGGCTTGCATATGAACCTGTGGTATTAAGCTGATGTTGCTTAATGATGGCAGAAACCAGGTGCTAAGGTTCTCTACCTTGGAGCTGCATCAGGAACTACTGTTTCTCACGTGTCTGATCTTGTTGGCCCTGTAAGTTTTATTTTATTGAATGGGGTTTCCAGTATGACTTCTCATTTATGGTTAGTTTGCTGATGAAATGTGGGGTTTTCTGTAGACTGGGGTGGTTTATGCAATGGAGTTTTCTCATAAAAGTGGTAGGGATTTAGTGAACATGGCAAAAAAAGCGCATAAATGTTATCCCCATTATTGAAGATGCTAGGCATCCAGCCAAGTACAGTATGCTAGTCCACATATGTGAGCCCACGAATTTAGGCCAACCTCATTTTTATCAACAAACATGGATTTGATCTTATTGCTTGTCGATTTAACTTATCCTCTTCTTTGTATTGACCTCAGGTTGTGTTCCGCAAAAATCCCTCAAATTTTAGGGCACGAAGGAAAGACTTCCTAGTTCTATTTTATTCTTGGTCGTTGGTTGTTTTGTTTTCTAGTTAACCTAGGATTGAAGTCAGGACGTTGTTTTCAGACTTGGTGTTAGCAAGGACGGACGTGAAACAACATGGGAGTTGTTGAAGGTATCTAGTATGATCAACACAAGATGACAATGAGAGTTTGAGGGGTCACCTGGCTTAAATAATAGTTCAAAGACCAATCTGTGTTCTACAGATAGATACTTGTATATCTTATATGAGTTCCTCTCTGCTGCAATTCTGTGTAGTTTTTTGCAGCGGTTTCTTACCCCAAGTATAATGAATTGCAGCATTTGTATCCATATATTATGGATGGAAAGGATGTAAGAAAATGACCATATAAACAAAAGTAGGGGAAGTTGTATAATGGTACCAAGTGTTGTATATAAAGATTACTAGTAGTTCATCATACATCACAATAAGATTCTGTTGGCTGCAACTAAACAAATAATACTTAGTGGTACATAACATTTGAGTACATCTCTTCATTCAACATCAATCCTTGGCCACTGGATGCTGCCTCCATCATACCATTGCATATTTGGTTAGAAATATCATGAACGTGACACGGACCATGGGGGATTAACAAGATTTTGTTCTTCAACGAGCTGTCACGATCCCTTGATCTTATTAAAATACCAAGTCATCATGATTAGGTCCATCACTTCTTTGGCGCTCGTGTTGCTCACCTTGTGCGAAAAGTTATGTTCTCCTATTCCATCAATTATCGCCATAAGAATGTACCAACCAATATATAAAGAACAAAGAAGTAGAACAGGGACAGAGCAACCAGTTCCCCGATGCTCGGTAAACACAACACCTCAAAGGAAAATAATCGAATACAAGGCGCAATATCAATGACATACAACTCAGAGGAAAAAAGGAAGCTAGGCCTAATTCTCAAAAAATAAACGAATTGAATTACCAGGATTTGTTAGGCAATGGCGGAACTTCAAATTCTGCTTTGTCAACAGGAAGGGTGCAAAGCGAGGGGACAACGTAGAGTGAGGAACTCTTCTCTTTCGCGCTAGAGGGATTGTCGGTGTCGGCGGAGCACTTTGTTGTAAGCAAGCCAGTCATTAATCACAAAGCAAGAGAAGGAAACCCTGGCCATCACGAAGTTGCATTTGGAAAGAATCATTGGTGCAAGGGTGGCAGATTCGGAGTAGCCGAAGGATTACCTTAGGCAAGCAAATCAGGAAAGGAATTCGAAAAAGGAAGACTTACCTTCTCTGAGTATCAACAGCTAGCTACCGAGGAGTACAAAAAGCACACTCGGAATCAAGAGGAGTTACTTTTCTGGAGATCAATTGGTACTAGAGTGCAAAGGAGTTTGTAAGAGGCGATTGATAAGAAAAGTTACTCTAATTCAAGATCAGGAGTGATTGGGTATTAGAGGGTGTGTTGGAACACAAGGTAGCTGGATAGCTGGGTTGGGAGAGTAGTTATAGACAGTCTCAGATTAACCTTCTTGGAGTGGTTGGTTAATCGTGTCGAGAAGAGTGACTTTATTTCGGAGCTTCAAATCAATCATACTTGTTGAATTGGCGAGAATCACAAATCAGTGATCTCTCGTACGTGGAGTAGTCAGAGTTGGGATTCATTTTCCCCCAGCTCTAGAAACCACGTAAAAGTGTCTGTGTCTGTTTGATTCTTTTCTTTTCAATCTCTGCTTTTTGTTCTTGCTCTGGTTCTGCAGCTTTAATTGGTTTCGTTGAGTACAGGGAGACTGAATCCGAGAAACAGAGAATAAGAGCTGAGTGATCGATCTTGAAACGCACAGCTTTGTATAAGCAAGCAAGCAGAAACGACGGGCCTGACTTCGTATCATCAGTGGATCTGGGCTCAAGTGAATAAGCCCACTATCCATAAGCCTGCTCAGTAACTTCTTCTCCGTTGTGTTTACAATTGATTTTCGATCTACATCATTTCCCTTTTCATTCTTCACTTGTTTTAGCCAAAGACAGAGTTAGGGTTCGTAGGGAAATTGACGAGAAGAGAAGCAGGATTCTCGCGCTCGACGCCTGCAACACGTGGTATCAGAGCACGGTCGGCGGTTGAGTAGGTTTAACAACCTTAGTGAAATCCAGGATGGCGTCAGGATCAACCAGTGCTGCCCCGCTATATCTTGCTGATGGATTCTCACAGAACCGACCACCACGATTTGAAGGAGTCAATTATGGGTACTAGAAGAATCGTATGGAATTGTTTGTTGGATCTACAGATCCAAAGCTGTGGGCGAGGGTCATCAAAGTGCCACACGAACTCAAAGCGGATCAAGAGAAATGGACGGATGAAGACTACGAGAAGTTTCAGCAAAATTGCAAGGCCACAAATCTGATGTACTGTGCTTTAGGATCGGAGGAGTATCATAAGGTTGCTGGGTGCAAGACGGCAAAGGAGATATGGGATAAACTTCAAGTAACTTATGAAGGTACATCTCAAGTCAAAACTTCCCGAATCAATTCGCTAAAACATCAATTCGAATTGTTCAAGATGGAGGAAGGGGAGACAAGTCGACAAATGTATGAGAGGTTCACAAATATAGTGAACAGCTTGGAAAATCTGGGGAAGTCCTACGAAAGTGGAGATTTGATTAGGAAGATACTTGGAGTCTTCCAGAGAAATGGACTCAAAAAGTGACAGCAATTGAAGAAGCCAAGGATCTAGAGAAACTCGTTGTTGATGAACTCATTGGGTCTCTTGCCACTCACGAAGACAAGCTAAATAAATCTGAGTTGGAGAAAGATAGCAGCAAAGGAAAACAGGGGATTGCCTTTAAAGCTACAAGTCTGATTGATGAATCTGAGGAACTTGACGACATGGAAGATGAAGAACTGGCTCTTCTGAGCAAACAGATTTGTAGACTACTTAGGATTCGAAAGGAGAAGAAGTATGGAGGATCCAAAGTCAAAGACTTTGAAAGAAATGAAGGAGGTTTAAAATCTGGGCAATCAAAGACATTTGCACGAGGACGAAATGAGGCTAGCCAGAATTTCAAGGGAATAAATTCAACAGGATGCTTTAAATGTGGGAGAACAGGACACATCAAAGCAGAATGTCCTTAAATCAAGCGAGAAAAGGCATATGCAGCTACTTGGAGTGGTAGTGAAGACGAAGGAGACGAGGAAGATGAAGTAACTGTGCACAGATCAATCATGGCAATTGCTGAAGAGAAGGAAGACGAAGAAGAGTCACC